CCCTGGATCCCTTTGAGTGCCCAAGGCCAGGCTGGACATTGGGGCTGGGAGCAGCCTGGGTCAGTGGGAGGTGTCCCTGCCATGGCAGGGGTGGCACTGGACAAGGTTTAAGGTCCCTCCCAAGCCAAGCCAGCCCGGCATTMTGTGATCTCATTGGAGACACACTGGCACAAGCCCATCCGGTTGGGGGATTCACATCTGCAGTCACATTTTAGCTCCTCACCACAGAGTTCTATGAGACATTATTAATTTTTCCCAWTTCTGGATCGTGGGAGAGGCCCAGGCCCCCAGCAGCCCCAGGCAGGCTCTGATAGCTCGGGCMGTGGGGCTGTGGGGAGCAGATAAAGGTATCGCCAGGTGCCCAGTGCTGCATGCAGCTCCTCACCTACGGAGCAGACATGACACACCCTTGGCTTCTAAAGGCATCTGAAGACTCCAGAAGTTGTCAAAATTCATCATTCAAAGCTCCAAAGAGTGGAATGGAATATATACAGCCCTAAATTCCCAGGCAGACATTCCCATCACGTGAGCCAGGCAGTGCTGGCCAACAGCTGCTCACCCAGCTGGGGATGACAATAAATGGCCTCGGTGGCCTCTGCATTTATTACTTCTCTGCAGCCTGGATTCCCTGGCACTGAAATTAAAACCCAAGCTGCATCTGGGGTTGTACTTAGCAATGCACTCACCTCATCTCTGATACGAGATTCATTTTCTGCTCTGCGAGGCTGAACTTTGAAAGGGAAAAGATAATGATGCTTTTCTGCTGCATCTGAACCAGCAGCAGGGGAAAGCTCAGGGGGGCACAGTAGGAGGGTGAAGCTGGGACAGGCAGTCCCACACCAAATGCAGAGGCTGGAGAAGAGTGTTACCTGCAGCATTAATATTATTTTTTAAATGTGGTTGATAAATGCTGGGTTTTGTTTTGGAACCAGAGAAGTGGCTTGTGCTGAGAAGTCCCCAGGCCTGGCCTCACCCTGTGACACATCAGGGGCTGGTTTTACTGGTGTGGGAGCAGGATGACTTTTCACAGGATGGTTAGTGATGGTCATAAAGAGCTGAGGGGGAAGGAGGAAGGCAGAGCACACTGGAGAAAGAGAGGCTGAAGYAATTTTCATCCAGACAGGCCCATTCCACGATGCTCTCCTGTATTGATCCTTTTAATGACTGGTTTTATTCCCACAGCAGCTGTTTAGCCTCTAAATCCCTTTAGATGGGCACAAAAGAAATGGAATAACAGCAGGTGAATCAGCCACTTAATCGGATTAGGGTCTTGTGGCCTCTGCAAGGGGAGAGTCTGTGGTGGCCATGGCCTTTTGCAGCCACTCTGGGCTGTAAATTTGTATCTCAGCTCCAGCCAATCCTTCCCCATGGCTCCCCACCGGCCCAATTTGCTGTGACCAGTCCAGGACTGGTGCCTTGGAGACCAGTGCGAATTTAACCACACTGCTGCTGCAGATCCTCAGTAA